ATTGTACAAATTAAAATGGAGTTGCTTTGCTATTTTAATTAATTTAAAGCTACAGATCAAATTCAGCATTGATAACTATATATTGGAATTTAGGAGCTTGGTTTGAAGTGTTAAATGTGAGCTGGAGTGAGATCTTAATTATCACATAAACAACATATATTAAATAGACAAATGAGGTAGGCTTGTGGATTTTTTTCTGCCCTCTGAAATTTTAGAGAAATGTTTTCTGAGAGAATTTGGTTTTTTTCTGCGCCTCTTCAAACAATGAGTTATCCCTCTTAATTGAAAGTCCATTGGCAATGGCAACTTTTACAAAATGGATAGGGCAGGAGCATGTGTTGCTCTGGCTTGTTTTGTTGAGGGACTAACATCCAAAGTACATTTATACTCAAGACTGCAATTGGGTTATGTAGACTGCTTGTTAATTCTTGTTGATTATGTCTGGTTCCTAATTATTTGCAGTGAAGTAAAGCTTTATGACATGTGGCATGGTGAGGGCAAAGATTTTTCTAAATAAAGTTTCATTGACTAACTGGAAACTGTCCATATGTCACAGTAATAGCCATCAACGTGTATTTCCCCTTCTTTCTTACACAAAATGTGGCTTAACATGTACACTTGGCATACCTCAGTTGTTTTTTTTAATTTATTACAGAATTCACATGGGCATAAGATAAGGCAGTGTTTTATATGTTGTTAGTGGGAGTGAGTTATCTGTTGTTTTGTTATTAAAATATCAGATGAACTGTTAGGGAGTTGCTTCTTCCTAAAAATGTGTGTTTATCTACTAGCCAGTTTTATGATGTCCTTTTGGGCACTAAGCATGCATTAAAGTGCAGGGTTAGATTGATTTGGAGTAATTTCTTTTTGAAAGAATTTGTGCCAATTCTTTTTCCTCTCCAAAAGAAATGGTTTCAGAGCATGGGCTCTTTGCCTAATGTCAATTCCATAAGGCTCCTCTGTTGTGGGGTGTGTGTGTGTGTGTGTGTGTGTGTGTGTGTGTGTGTGTTTTATTTGCCCCCACCCCCCTCCATCTTCCCCTCATAATTGGGCTGTGCCATGAGGAAGATGTGTACCTATAACCAGGCATTTCTTTGCTTTAGGGTTATTTGTCATTCCAGACAGCATGGACCAAAAGAACAGGCTTGTGTGGGGTGAGGCAGAGTTATATAAACTGTTTTCATAGTTAAATATTTGCTTCCAGGGAAGGTGAAAAATGCTTTGTACTTTTTCCTTTGGCTTTTTTCCTGTAAGGGAGCTTGTCATGCAACAACAGAAAAAAAGTGGCCAAAGGCAGAAAAAGCTCTTCTCTTTTCCATGTTGGTTTGTTTTTATTGTAAGACAAACCTTTCATGTTTTATTGTTAATGAAGTTTAAACCTGGTGTAGAGGTGCCAATCTTTAGTGGAAACAGCTGCAGAGTTGGTGTCCCCTGATCAGGTGGGACTTTCTTTGAAGCAACATGTTGCCTTTTAAAGAAAATTGAGCATGTGAGAACTTGAACCTGTAAAACTCATCAGCAGCTCCACCATTGTCTCTTTAAATAACTGAGATAGTTAACTTCAAGTAAAACACTGGCATTTAAAAATCATTTTTTGTATTTTTTTTTTTTTCTGAAGAGAATAGTCTTGCTATTTTGTGTCTTAAAAATATAGAAATGGAGGGGGAGAATCACTCAAGAATTGAAGTCATAGCAGCTCAATTTAACAGATCATAGAGGACAACCTGTCTTTGGCTAGTCTGAACTGTGATTTTGATCTTATAGTTGCAAAACTAAGTGGTTGGGCATATACCTTAACTTAAATAAAGTCTAGAGATTAAAGATTTTCTACTCTTTGCTGATTGATGTTGAAGCATTTCTTATCTTTGTGGTTTAGCGATATGTTAGCAGTGGGCTTAGCATCTTTCTTGGTCTACTGCTAGGAAAATTGAGTATCAGAGAGCTTTTTTTCCTTGGTGGGAAAATAGGAGACAGGCATGGAGTCAGAAGGACAAGAAAAAGGCTGAAATATTTTCCTTTTGGGCTTTTGATTTCTCTGCCAAAAAATTGCCTTCCAGATGGAGAAGACCAAAAGCTCTGATTGTAAGCCATTATGTTTTTACTGGCCTACCTCCCCATCCCATTGCCTGGTTTGAAATCTGTAAGCCAGTCCAAATCCTTTACCTCATTTTCTAGTACCAATTTACTGTCTTACTCATCTTCCAGCTGCAAGCGGGTGAGGCAAGCCGTTTTGAAATTGAGCCCTGTGCCATTTTATAAATCAAGCAACAGCAGATTCTTGCCAAGGAGTATCAATCGCGATAGCTCCCATTTCTCTGAAGTTCTTGACTCATGCCTACCAGGTAGATTTGTGTCTGTGACATGTGCGGTCGGATTAGTCTGGGAATGAATCTGAACAAGCCCATTTGGCCTTGTGGAGACTTGTTACTTCCCTGGTTGCCTAGTGTTCTGGCCTGTTGCATAGGAAGCACAATTTGTTTTTGGCTGCATCTTACCGCACTGGCAGTAGAAATCTTGATACTCCAGTTTCCCATGGGAGGTAGAGATTGTTTAAGGGTTAATGTTGGAGGGGAATTCAGTGTCAGGGCATATAGAGGATATAGTGGCTCTGGAGTCTGGCAGACTTGGGCCTAATTCTGCTCTACCACTAGCTAAACAGTGTCCTTGAGCAAGTTACTTCTGTGTCTGGAAAATGGGGCGTCATACCTTATCAGGTTGTTTGGTTTAATAATATTTTGAAAGGAAGAACATTTTGGGTATTTATTGGAAATACTAAAATGTTAGTTCCTTTTCTTTCTCATTATGTCGGTCTTGAGTATGTTAATCATTGTGGTCTGTAAACTGACTAGTTTTTTTGTTTGTTTGTTTGTTTTTTTTACCATTTTTAAAAATTACATGGAAATTGTGATGACATGGGTAATTTTTAAATATTGCATATTAAAGTTGGGCACCAAATCATTACCTAATGCAAGGTCTTTTGGACAGGGCAAAGTAATAATTTTTTATTAAAATTCATGTTTGTGTAGGATATAGTCATAGGAAAGGAACATACATCATGGCCACATGTATATGATAGGGGAGAATTATCAGAAATCATTCCAGGTAATAGCATAAATACTTTCTTCAAGCCAACATCAAGTGGATTGAAAACATGCACACGCGCACGCGCGCGCGCGCACACACACACACACACACACACACACACAACACACAAAACAGTATGGGCTGGCCATTGTGGCCTAGTGGTTGAGCATCAACGCATGAACCAGGAGGTCACTGTTTAGTTCCCGGTTGAGGTACATGCCCTGGTTGCAGGCTCAATCCTCACAGGCAGCCGATCAATGATTCTCTTTCATCACTGATGTTTCTCTCTCCCTTTCCTTTCCTTTCCTCTCCTCTCTCTGAAATCAATATAAACATATTTGAAGGGGAAAAGAAGAGGGGGAAAAAAGATGTGGGTTAGCCTGTTTGCTTTAATTAAGTTCTCTGTGTTTGGAGCAGAAAGGGTCAGATTGGTAGACTGAGGAGTACTTGAATGTTCACATTGTGATAGCCTAAAATCATGGTTAGCCAGAGAGGAAGCTCTTGGAATTTGAAAACCATTCAGGCAAATGAGAATTGGAACTTTTATGTGGTGTTTAATCAGTTAACTGCCACGATATTTTGAATTTAATTTTAAAAGGCCCACCATTTGCGCCTGTAGATGCTTACTTATGGCCTACAAATGGTTAATTGTAAAGATGGTAGTCAGATGCTCTGTTGGATCATGGAACAAAAGTAAAGAGCATCAGCATGCTCTGAAAGGTGCAAGACAACTGTCAAATCTGAAGGGGGAAAAAATCAGATTTTGGTTCTCTTCCTTGGCACGTATAAGTTTATCTCAAAGTTTGGGACATGTATTACTACAGTAGAATGTGAGGTGATTTTTTTCCTAAAGTGGTACCACAGACAATATTTTTATTTTAATGGTTCTACATTCATTTTAACACACTTAATGGAAAAAATGTCGTTAGCACTCAAATCTATAATTATACGAATATTGTTACTTAAGTTGAGGCTAAAGTTATTTAATCAAATACATGCATTGATAATTTTTCAAAAGAAAACGATTAAGCAAATAATTATACAGGTGATGTGTGATGTAGCAGAAATTGTGACCGTAACATTAGAATGACCAACGTTTGAGAAATACTGGTAAAAATGAGGATTTGATCCTGTTTTTCTAGCTTAGATGCCTGTGAAGTTTAATTTAAAATTAAATATTGCCAAAACCATTTGGCTCAGTGGATAGAGCGTCGGCCTGCGGACTCGAGAGTCCCAGGTTTGATTCCGGTCAGGGGCATGTACATTGGTTGCGGGCACATCCCTGGTGGAGTGGGGGGGGGGGGGAGGTGCAGGAGGCAGCTGGTCGATGTATCTCTCTCATCGATGTTTCTAGCTCTCTATCCCTCTCCCTCCTCTCTGTGAAAAATCAATAAAATATAAAAATAGATATTTATAATTTCCTACCAAATCATAAGATCAGTTTTTGTGTGTGTTCTTTTATTTTGAAAGATAGTGGTTAAAAATGCCCCATGAGTAAAATGAGGGGATCATTCTGGATCACTTCTTTCCATTTTCACTCAAACTGTTGAAGTGAGAGGAGCTTCCAGTTGACATCATCATTTCTGATGTTCTGGCCGTGGCGCCCTGCAGAAGAGGGTAGGAAGGCATTCCCAAGCAGTGCAGAGCCTCTCCTCAGGAACAGTTTCCTGGCTTGTTCTCTCATCGCCCAACACGTTTGTAAACAGAACAGAGAATAACATTTTTAGCCCTTGTTGTGGGCAGGGGACTAGGGCATCTAAAATGCCTCTGATAACAAGAAGGAAGGTTAGAAATGAAAAATCAACTGTATACCAAATTATGAAAAAAATCATAGATGTTCACATTTATGAAATGTACATTTTATTTTTGTTGAATTATTAACAAGATATAATGTTTCCCTCCCCCCCTCTTTGCAGGTACTGGTTTTGGATTAGGACTTGTTTTCTCACTTACCTTCTTTAAAAGTAAGTATGGCTCTTGTTGTCTTTCTAGCATAATGTCCTAGTGTACATACACATAGCAGAAACACTTCTGGAAGGTACATCTGCATGACCGCCAGCCCAGCCATTTATGGGTTTAGGTAGCTAGACAAAGAATGTGGACTCAGAAGAGGTCAAAATGGTTGAGCATCTCCAGCATTCCCCTGGGGCATTGAGTCAGGGTGCTTGATATCTAAAATATGATATCATTTTAAAATGTGCTTTATGCCAGTGAGTCATTTGGCCAAATCTTCATGCTCAAATATTTCTAATTAATTATAATTTTTTTTTAAAGGAACTTGAAAATGAGGGTTGTGCTAGTGATAAAAACAAGTAGGCCAAAAATTATTCTAAGCGAAGAATAGGCTATATCCCTTTCATTCTGTAGAGGAGCTGAAGTTTGGCTGTTGACATCTTTCCATGAAGAACAGTGGGAATACATAACTATAGAATCATAAGAAACACATGCTGCTGATATGAAATAATCATTTTCAGTATTGTCTTAAGTAAGCCTTATGACTTACTATAATAAAAATATTATAGGGGAGGCAGGGAAGATGTGTAAAAAAAAAAATTTAAAAATATATTTATATATATGTTAAAAATCTTAGATATTTTAAAAATTCAAGAACCTTACTGAAATATTTCTGTTAAGGTTAAAAAAAAAAAAGGTTTAAATGATTAGAACTGATAAAGAGAAGTTAAAAGGTTCAAGTATGTCTACTCTTTTTATATTGTACCATTACATACCATGCACATGTACCATTATTAATACTTCAAACCTGACAGCATAACTGCTTAATAAATACTTGGTAAATTAATAAGTTTTCCAATAGTTTCCCTCCTCCTTTTATTGACTGCTGATGAAACATTGACAAATCTGTGTGATGCATGCTGAATATTGACTGAACCCTAAGTTAATGTATTTGAGCCAGAAAACAAGCTGAATCTGCTCCTAATGGTTCCCTGTTGGGATTTTCCTTTTTCTGCTCACTAGGAAGAATGTGGCCATTAGCCTTTGGTTCTGGCATGGGATTGGGAATGGCCCTCTCCAACTGTCAGCATGATTTCCAGGCTCCATATCTTCTACATGGAAAATATGTTAAAGTATGTATCAATCTGATATTTCTCTTTCTTTCCAACAAAAGTGTTTCTCCTCAGTCCCCGAAGAATTTTTTATAGTATATATAATGAATAAAGTGTGCATGTCATGTGGTACCACTGAGATCCCAATTGCTCTTTGGCTTTTAGTGATGTTGACACCACTTTGGTTCCTCAAGTCTCTCCCCTCCCCTCGACCTTAAGATGCATATGTGCATTCAGATCTATACTCATATGTTAGCTGACTGGAACTGACAAACCTGCCTGAAAGTGTATCATTATAGTAAAGTAGATTTGTGTTAAATATCTGTACGTAGCAGTTTTGTTCAAGATTTCAGAGTGCCCTGTAAACATCTCACACATACTCAAACTAAACTTGCAGACTTCTGGGATTCAGTCATTATTCTGCTTTTTATTGAAGAAAGCAGGTTCTTGACTGTATGTCCCACATAATTCTACCAGAGTTCTTGCCTACAGATGGATCTTTAACGATGCAAACAAGATGAAAAAGATAGCACATGCCTCAAGAGTAAGGTGACCAGACGTCCCGCTTTTGGCGGGACAGTCCCGATTTTTAACAATTTGTCCCACGTCTCGCGGCGTTTTAAAAAAGTCCAAAGATTTAAAAGATTCTTTCCAAAAATAATCATTTTCAGTATTTGCTTAAGTAAGCTGGCACATTCCCTGAAGACTGACTGTAGCAGCGTTTCTCATCATTTAGAGGGCTGGTTACCTTGGGGTGTAAGTGAAAGGATCATGGGAAGCTGTGTGCTCAAGGACAGAGGGGTGTATTTATTTTTGTATCTCCAGGACCTGGAACAAAGTAGTCACACAAATAAATGTAAAATGAATGAAGTAAATGGTGGATTCTGTTATATGTGTTAATTGCCTCAGGCTTACTAAGGTATAAACCTTTATAGCAGTACAAACTTCAATGAAGAACTTCACACTCCCTTGATATATAGAATCATCTGCTTTCTTGGTTACCCTTGAGCTAGAATCTCTGTGATCTGGGCAGCCTCAGGAGGCTAGTTGAAAGAGCACAGAACCAGGAGACCTGCGTGTGAGTCCTGGTCTATCACTTGCTTCCTATGTGGTCTTGAGTTCCTCGTTTCTGAAAGTCTCTTTTCTATCTATAAAATGAGGGAAATGCTTTCTACCTATAGGATTGCTGTGAGGATTAAATGCTTTCTACCTATAGGATTGCTGTGAATATGGTTTTAAGCTGTGAGGTATTATATAAGTAGATATGCTTGTTATTGTAGTTGAGGGCAACCAAGGAAGGGTGATTGACTTGTCCATTGTTTCATCATAATAGCAAGTAGAGCAGAAATGTGGATCAAATGAATGTCCCAATTCTGGTCAAAAGCTGTCACCCAATCTCAAATGACAGTACTCCACCACAGCTCGATTGCCCTTCTCTAGAGCACCTACCCACAGTGTTGCTGCCTACCAACCATCCTATGTGCGTTTGGAGAGAACTGGGAGCAGGGAGAGTTGGCCAGTTAGGAAGTAGCAGGCCTTTCGCCACTCTCCATATTAATGAACCATCTCGTGCCAGAGCCAGGGTGAGGTAATCAGAGGGACAGCACAAGAAGAGGCACAGCTGTGTGGCACAGGCAGTCTCCACTTCTCCCCAACTCTCCTCTCTGTTGGCACTACAGCTGAACTTGGAGGAGAACAAAAAGAACAGGAGAGGAGCTTCAAGTCTTTTAATTGTTTGAAATGTTCCAAACTGAGTTGCCATGGATAATGGCTCAGAGTGATTATATGCATATTATATATTTAATGGATGGAAGTTACTGTGGAAAATATTGTTGCATTTTTTACAACCTTGTGTGTTCTGCTCCAAAATGGCCTTGAAACTTTATCTGAACTTGAATCTGTGCCTTGATGTTGTCATCCTCCATTCTCTAAAAAGGAGTAAAGTCCCAAGTTAGGGCTTTTCAAATGTAGTCATATTATGGTAATTGCTTCTTGAGTGCCAGTTATGCCCTGTGGGTCATCCTAGGTGCTCTGTCTTCTTTCTCTAGACCTCCCTTCCCCCAATAGATTTGTGAGCAAGATGTTATTATCCTCATTCAGAAGATGAGAAATTTGAATTTAACTGAGGTTAAGAAACTTGCCAAAGATCCCATCATTAGTAGGCTGTTTGATTCTGGACCCATGATTTTTCCACTCATCTGTGATCTATCATCTATCCCTCTGATGGATTTAGGAATATACTTACTTATTCAATTGCCAGTTGTTTAGCCCTATTCTGCTCCTTTCTCTTTCTCCTTCCTTAAAGTTTGGGAAGCCTTTCTTTAGAATGTGGGCAGGATGTATAAGTCCTCTTGTGAGACAGTTTTTGGTTGGTTGGTTGGTTGGTTTGGTTAGTGTTGTTTTGTGATGGTGGTGGTGGTTGATGAGAAAGAGAGAGAGAGATATTTGTTGTTACTCTTATTTATGCATTCATTGGTTGATTCTCGTATGTGCCCTGACCAGGGATCGAACCTCCACCTTGGCAAATTGGGATTGTGCTCTAACCAACTGAGCTACCTGGCCAGAGCTTGAGATAGTTTTAAAGCAAACTGGGGGATAAGGTCTTAAGGTCCATTTTTCCTGGAGCAGCACGTTAGAGGGAGTTGTCACAGTGCCGTCTGTACAGTTCTAACCTGAGTGTCCTTACTTTCCAGGAGCAGAAGCAGTGACTCACACCAGAGAACATCTCAGTGGGAGGAGAAGAGAAATCATGTTTATTCCTCAGGAATACTGAAGTGCCCTGGAGTAAGCTGACATTCTTCTGTAACAATGTTATCAGCAGCGCTTTAAACTCCAGCACACTGTTTATGTATTTGAAACCAAGTCTGTTTCTTGTTTTGTATTTTCTCTCTGGAAATTGCAAGGAGGTGGTCTTAAAAGAAATAAATTAAACAAAAATAGGCAGCTTGTGCATTGCCTGCATTTCTTTGCCTTTGTATCTGAGCATGAGGAAGATTATACTTGAGCTGCCAACAGCTGTACCCGCCTGATCCCCAGCTCTCTGAGAACCTTCCTGAAACCACAGCCGTGGTGCATTCCTAATGTGTAGTTTTCAGAACTGCTTCCACCTCATAAATCGGAGGTTGGAGGTTGCCGCTGCGTTGTCTGGTGAAGATGACAAATGTCTTGAGAAGCCTCGCCTCGTGATAGCAGCTCTTTACTATCTGTCTGTTCTTCTCACCAATGGGCCCAGCAGGGCACTTTTCAGCTGAGCCTGCTCGCTGAGGGCAGATGGCTGGGTGCATCAGCAGGGTGTGCAGCCTGCTGTGCTGAAGGCTCACAGTGTGATGGCACAGTTTTCCGCAGCTTCATGGAGCTTGACAGTGCGGTTTTTAGCACTGGGTGCTTTGGCCTGAGGTTTGGGAGAGTGCATGGCATACCCACTGGCTGGAAGGACACGTTGAGGCTTGACTTTTGCTTTCATGTGGCAGCTGAACTTTGAGGACAAAAGGGCCACTTCTAATGCCCCTCTGTGAGTTTATTCCTTTGGTTTCACTTGAAACAGGAAGGCTGGACACAAGTCGTAGCAATTTCTTCTGGAAATATGCAGAACCCCAGAACTCAGTCTTTCATGTCTTATTTCTTTTTATAATAAAACTAGAGGCCCGGTGCACGAAATTCAGAAGGTCGTCCTGAAGGTCATTGGGCTGTTCAGGTCTAATTAGCATAATAGCTCTTCATTATATAGTATTAAGATGGGCAGAGGTGATCCCACCTGTTTCTTTGTCCTGTAAATTTTGACTGAGCAACTCCTGTGAATTTGGCACTGTTGTAGACAGCAGATGTAGGTGGATGGAAAGACAAGACACACTCCCCTGCCTTCAGGGAGCTTAGAGTTCGATGGAAGGACAGACAGACAAACTCTTGTGACACTGGAAGAGGAGGTTGTAGATAAAGTGCAGTGAAGACAAAGAAGGAACAATTCAGTCTCCTCAGGGTGGCCTGGCAGAGGTGGGAATAACGTGCACTCAGATATGAAGCTGACCTGGGTATTCCTGACAGACAAGGAAAGGAAAGGAGCTAGGCGAAGGCTTGAATCCTGCGCAGTGCTGGCAGAGCTTGGGGACCAAGTGGGCCCGTGCAGCCAGAGCAAGTGGGGCCAGGATAGGTGCAGAGGTGAGGCTGGGCACCGGTGCACCTGGTGTCTGAGCCCTGTTCTGGAACATCAATCACACAGTTCTTGTAAGTGTTGTAGTGAGTAGATTCAGGGTAGAAATACCCCCTCTTTTTCCCCTCCCTCATCCTTTACTCTTCTTTCCGGAAAGGTATGCTCAGCAGTGGTCCTCTGCCCTGCAAACTGTCCAAGCTCCTTTGCCCCCTGGGCTGTTTTGTTTCTTTGAATCTGTTAAAGCCCAGAGACAGGGCTGAGCCTAGGACTGTAAGTCATAGCCATGGCTTGCTATAGCCATTCCACTGTTCTTCATGTTGCCCTCTTCACTCCATGATCAAAACAACCCATGTAATTAAAAGAAAAAAACCCAGCAACCTGTTTCATCCTTTACACTTGTCTTCTTCATATTTGCTTTACAAGTTAATATTTTATCCCAATTTTTCCATTTTTATTTAGGCAGGAGAAGAACAAGAGGTCCCCCTCCCGTAACTCCACCCCGTAAGTCAACACCAGAAAACAGTATTCCCACTAATTCTCTAGACATGTCAGAAGACTGGAGTGGAAACGGATACTGGAATCAGACTTCTCTGTCATTAGTTATTAGGTTTTAGGCATTTATTTGGATGAATTCCTCTGCCCAGCATCTTTGAAATACCACTTAAGTGTTTTGAGAAACTGGTGAGCTCTGTGAGGGAATGTTTCTGGGCAGAGGCCAGTCAAAGGAAGCATTGGCTGTTTGCTTTAATTCTGACTACTTTGTATTCCTGTCTTGTAGCTCTTAGCAGAGACTGGCCCGAAGCACAATGCTCGATCTTGTCCCCACTCCCTGCCCCCGTCGCAAGCCAACCTCAGAGAGTTCCAGCTTGTTGGCAAAAGCATACGTTCTGTTCTAAGTTTCACGAGGAATTCAAGTCCTCCGGGGCCCTGTTCCCTTGTGGGGTTGTGAAACTTTGACTTTGCTGCTTATCTGCCCTTCTGAAACCAGATACAAGGAAATTCATGGGTTTAAAGGCGGGAAAGGGGGGGGGGGGGGAGGGCAACCCAACTGGGCACAGGATACGAGGATAAAACTGGCGCCCCAAAAGAGGCCTACTCTGCCAACATACATAAATACATATAGTCTGAGCTTGACACTATAATTTGGCCCAGAACAATATGTATTTTGAACTCATTTAGGTGAATGGTTTTGGCATTCCCAGTACCCACGGGGGAGCCTTTAACGGGCTGCATTTGCCCTATGCAGAATGATGCCTTTGTTCTGAGAAATGGCCTCCGAACACACTCAATCGAGTTGTCTCCTTTAGTGAGTGTCATCCTCTCATCCATTTCGAAAAATCTAAGGATGCAGCCTTGAAATCCTGCTTGCAGGAAATGCAGAGATTGGGCATGGAGGATAAAATCTATGTAGTTTTGCTTTAAGTTTTTCCAAACCTCACTGCTTACATTTTTTTTTTTTTTTATGTAACCAAGCCATAATTACATTTTGCTTGTTGTGGTGCAATCTGATTGTATTGTTGCAGGACTATTTTTGAACCTGTCCAAATAAACTCTCCAAGCAGTTCCACAAGCATGGACTCCACGGGGCTGGAACAGCCTTCCTCCTGAGTGGTTCTGAGACACGAACAGTTTCCTGCTGCATGCTTTCTAATTACATAAATGAAATGGGTGGAAGGGAGAAAGTGGAAATTCTAAGTACCAAAAGGAATGTTAAATGGAGGATAACAAGCTCATCTGGAAGCTATCACCACTTTTTTCCTTTAAATGTGTTGCAAGGACCACTTCCCCTCGGACACCAAAGGATGATTTTGGGCAAACCCGGGCAGGGGCAGGACAGAAATTCTCCTGTTCACTGAACAGCCTCCATGTGGAACAAGTGTGAGAGTCCGTGATAAGTCCTAGCAGGCGGGAATAAGGGGTTGAGGCAGGGTTATGCAGCAGGAAGAACACAGGATTTGGAATCAGAGGACCTGGGTCTGAGTTCCTACTCCACCATTTATTGCCATGCAACCATGGGAGTAGCGGGGGAGGGGAGGGGAGAGTTCCTTACGCTTTCATCTGTAAAGGGAGAAAAAGCAATTCTTACCTTACAGGCTTTGAAGATCAAATACATGTGCTAACACAAGCATTTAAAAAGTTGTTGCTATTTGAGTCTGAACAGAGTGCATGGTTTTAATGGTAAGTAGGGGATTGTTCCAGAACCGAAGGGCACACATAATCTTTGGGCTGCATTTGGCTCTTAGAGTCTAAATTAGCAAAAGCTGAGGGAGAAAATGGATGTCTCAGATGAGCTTCTAAAAATAGTTAGAAAACTCCGTGTGTCTTCAAATGAGTATTAATGTCAATTGTTTTCACTCTGCTCTGTTAAGATACACGAGTGAAATCAGATGGTTTCTCCCCTCAGACACTCCACCTTAGCTTTCTAAAAATCAAGAGGTGCACATTGAGCACCCCATCTCACTGCGAGGCCAGGAAGGGGGAGGAGGAGAAGAGGACACTGAAGAAGCAGAATGGGAATCCGAGACTCCTAAGGAGCTCTGGCTGGTAGGAAGCAGGAAACTGACTGGACGTTTGCATGCGGGATAATTGTCTTCAACTGCTCCATCCTCACTATCAGTTCAGTCAGAAGGTGGTGGGGGAAGGTAGTGTCAAGAATTCTATGAGGAATTCAAGAGTGGGCAGGGAGTGAGACTTTTAATAGGAAGACTTTAATAGGGACTAGAAAAAGGAGCTCCTTCTCAACTGTCAGTCAAGTCATCTTTATTCCTGGTCTAGCCAGTTTGAGGCAGGCAGAACTTAATTTGATGACTTCAAATAAATATATAATAATAATTAGTATTTATTGGGTACATACTGTGTCACTGTTCTATGGCTTTACTTACCTCACGTTGCATATTTTTTACAACAATCCTATGAGAGAAGTACTATTCATTTTATAGATTAAGAGAGAGATTTTGAAAGGATAAATAAACTTGGCTCAGGGACAAACCAGCTAAGAAGTGATCCAGGAGGGATTTTTACTGATTCCAGAACCCAGACTCTGCTTTATTGGGGAAAGCTGTTTAAACTGGGAAGGTTCATTCAAAATGGTTTGATCCAGTTTAAACCTGATTTGACACAAATCTGATTAAACTAGTTGAAATTGATCAGAGTCCATTTAATTGTATTTAAATTGATAAGAATAAAAACTTTGATATGAATAAGTTGATCTGATTTGAAATCAGCCATACTTGTTAAAAAGTAAAAGTTCCTGTGTTCATTAATTAGAAACGTAATTGTCAACCAGAGCCTCAGGTCAGTGATACTGATGAGTTTTGCTAAATTCTTTCAAGTGTAGTAAAGCAACATGGTATTTTTATTGACCTATGCAACTTAAAAACTATATACAGCCCTGTTGGTATGGCTCAGAAGTTGAGTGTTGACCCAGGAACCAGGAAGTCAGGATTTGATTCCCAGTCAGGACACATGCCCAGGTTATGGGCTTATATGGGGATACAGGAGGCAACCAATTGATGATTCTCTCTAATCATTGATGTTTCTAACTCTCCCTTCTCTGAAATC